GATATGCTTTCAGGGGCCGCAACTCAAAGAAAGATGGCACATTTTACAGGAATGACGACTGAAGGCCTGACCTTCTGTCGCTGGAGCCAATGAGTAGGAAAGGGTCTCAAATCATGCGGATAGCAACAGTCAGCTGTCACATCCCTGCTGATCACGGCCATGCTGCAAAGAGATTATCTACGCCTATGGCTACAATGCAGTCTGAAATATGCATTTGTGTGAGCAGAATCAAACAAGCACAGGGGTGTCCCTTTTCTCTTTCTTTTTTTTTTTTTTTTTTTAATTTGTTTTCCTTTCAGAGTCTTATATCACAGAGTCAATGGAAAGCACATGGAGTTAATTTTGCTTTTTTTCCCCCTTCCAAAGGAATTGCCCAAACTCGCTCAAGCATTTGTTTCAACATCTGTCACTATTTTCACAGAGGGGGAATGGATTAGTTGTTAGAAGATGGGACTGTGAGTCTGTTGTTATTTTGAGAAGATACAGCCTGGTCCTATCTTTTTGCTTTAATTTGTCCTTTTCTAAAATGGTTCTACTGACACTTACATAACTCACTAAACAGTATGAGGCTGACTTAATAGATGGTTTCAGAGGGCTTTCATGTCTTGGCCTGAAAGATATCTATGCAGATATCACACACCATGAGCTCTACTCTTAAATACAACCTAGGCAGAAGCATCCCAGCCAGCTGCCATGGTTGAAGCTGTGGAGGGCTGAGGCATGCAAAATGTCTCCAAGTTAGGCAAACCCATCATTTTAAAGGATACCACGTGGGCTTTTTCTGCCCAGTGCATGGAGGCGCAGCCATTCCCCCTCCCTCCGCTTTTGACAAGCCCTGAGGATCTGGCAGGACATGGGTGTCTGCAGCACCTCCTGACTTCAGTGTCACCCTTGAACTCTAGAAACATCACACACTAGATCATGGCTGCCTTTTGGGGTTGGGAGAATCTCTCCGAATGCCCTCTACTCAGCAATGCATTCACACACGAGGGACGGAATTTTATAGCCCAACTGCTACAATAAAGCAGCTCCCCACTTGATAACCATAACGCTGCTATGCCTGACTTCTGACTTAGCAGGTGTGAATGGAGTCATAGGAATTTACCCCACCTGGGGCTCTAGCTCTGCTGACACTGTATCAGGATGAAGCTGTGGTTCACTCCTATTATCTCTATTGGGACAGGTGGGAAAATCGACCAGCTGGCATGTACCCTGCCCAAGGAGCTGAAAGGGAAGGATATGCGAATGGTGCCCATGGAAATGTTTAACTACTGCTCCCAGCTGGATGATGAGAACAGCTCTACAGTGCTGGACAATACTGGCCCGCCCTGCACTAAAGGAAGCCCAACTCCTACCAAATCTAAATCAGGCCCAGAAACAGAAGTGGAGCCCAGTGTGGGATGCCCTCAGAAACAACGATATAGGCCTGTGAGCGTGCGCCGGGCTATAGGCACTGTGATCATCGCAGGGGTGGTTTGTGGCATTGTTTGCATCATGATGGTGGTGGCAGCTGCTTATGGTTGCATCTATGCCTCCCTCATGGCCAAGTACCACCGGGAGCTGAAGAAGAGGCAGCCACTCATGGGTGACACAGAAGGTGAACATGAAGAGCAAAAACAAATCTCTTCCGTGGCATGAAACTCTTCTAGGAAGGAAGGGACAGCAACGAACAAAGGTACCTGAGAGCAGTCAAGCATGGGGTCCTCCCAAAATACATCTTCCCAGACAGACAGACAGACAGACTGTGCTATTGCTCCACTCACCCAAGTAGTGCAACAGGCTTCTGGGGGGGTCAGGGCACCTGGCTCAATTTCTGTTCCTCTGCCCCAGGCCCATTTTGTGCCCTTTCATCCTTGGGCCCTCCCGGACAAATAAAGTAGAGTCAGACCTCGAGTGCTTGCTGTGCCTCATGCCCTTGCACAGAGCTTCCCTCACATGCCTGCTGTGAAGGCAGCTGGCACATTCTGGGAACCTGTGTCATCCTCTCAGCTTCAGTTCTGAGTCGTCCTGTATCCTGTCAAGAGCCCTCTGCAAACAGAGGGAGTGGCTCTGTTAAGGCTTGTGTGAGGAGCAAGACACCAGAAGTGTCCATGCCTCTTAGGGTCACTGCTGTGGTGTGACAGTAAGTTACTGCCCACCCTACAATTCAGTGCTGCCAAGAGCACATTAGAAGGGAGGGAAGGTCCCTGGAGTATGACAACAGTCAGGGGGAGATTTCCCTTCTCTTTTAAAGGTGGAAAGATACCTGTACCACTCTACCATGGAGCACAGTATCCCTCTTTTTGCTCCTGGCCAAGTCCAAATCTGTGAGCTCACACACACACACACACACCCCATTCATTACAGGTACACAGATACAGAGCCATCCTATACACACACACACACACTTACTGACTCATTCGGAAACCAATACACACAGTCAGCCCCCACTCCAAATATCCAGGCACCCTACTTGCGCATGCAGAGCCGCATGTGCCCGTGTTGATCTGCCCTCTGCATGCAGCCATGAATACATTCAGTCACTTCACCTTACTCTCATCATAACAGTACATAGCACCTTCTGGTTCAGACAAAATACATGCACCTTGCCACTGAGGAGCCGACAAAAATGTCTCAGCCATAGTGCAGAGCCAGTTGAAATGGGCAGGAGAGGACAGAGAAAGGCAAAGTTATTAAGGTTACAGCATGAGTCTGTGGAACTGAGTACACAGCATGAAAAAAATAAGGTGTGTTCTTGTTTTCTATTTTCTATGATAAATGGAGAGAGTAAGGATATGAAGCCTCCATTTGGAAATGTTTGTTTAGCAAAGCAGATGTGGGTCATCAAGAAAGACTAGAGGAGGAGGCAGCTTACCAGCCTCAGTAGAGTAAGCCATGCTGAGTAGTAGTGTAAGCCTAGGGGAAGGTTACAGGAGAAAAAGACACAAAACCCAAGAGCTGGTGTGGCTGGCAGAGGGGCAAGCATGGTGTACGGAGTAGGGTTATGCAGCTGGGGTGACTAAAGAAAGAGGGCACAGTTCTAGAGGGTCTTGAGGTGAAGGCTGAAACCTGGAGCACAATGTGGCACAGGTGGGAGAGCCCAGGAAGGGTCCAGCACAGCAGACAACACAGCCCACATACGCTACCCCTCACCATCACTGCTGTGTTCACTGCCATCCACAGCTGCACATGAGTGTACCCACACACACAACTGCGCACACTGCCACTGTCACATAGGGTGACTTCCCCCAACCGGATTTTAAAGCCCACCAGACTGCAGTGCCTCCTATTAGTCTTAGTTCTTTCCAACCTGACAGGGGGAAAAAAAAAAGTGAGAGGGGAAAAAAAATGAAAGAAACTCAACATAAGGACTCATTTTGTATCACTGGAAGTGGGATAAAATGCTGTCTCCAGGGGAGAGCGCACATTGCCATGGTAACCTGCTCTAACCCGTCACAGTGGGTATTCCTGGGCGAGGAAGATGACACCGGAGGTCGTGCATCCGCAGTGCCTGTGGATGGTGTGATCCCTGCCATCAGAAAACAAGCTGGCAGCCAGCCCAGCTTTGCAGGGTGTTCCGCTAGCAACCTGTGTTCAGAGCCCAGCACGCACTGCAGGTGGACCCTGCCAGGGCACGTCACCTCTTCCCACCGCTCCAGCTGGTTCCCAATGCCTTCGGACGTCTCACGGCCCTCCTGTTTGCTGCTGCTGGATCCCTGTGGAAGCAATGCACGCTGGCTCCTCACCCGCTTCTGGTCCCAGACAGGTGGTTGTACTGACCCATGGGCACACAATGTCAGTCTTTAATCAAAGCCTGGAGTGGCAAAATCCCTCCTGGCCTACCCAGGGCCACCAAAGGTAAAGAGACAAGATGCTCTGGACTGGTTTAGCATGACTTCCCTTTGACACAGGGATGCATGGGACAGGGGAGGATGTTCTTTGGGAGCCAGAAGACCAGGCTGCCCTGGAAGAAGGACTGGGAGACGCAGTCCACCCACAAGTGTGCGCACATGTTGTACACCCACTCCCAGCACACTGCTTGTTGGGAAGAGGAGGAGGAGGGCTGGCAAGATGTGAGGAGGAAGGACTCTTCCCCCACGCAATGTATAGCCCCTTCAACCATCCCATCTGCTGCAACCATAGCCCGCTCTGAAGGGCAGAACTGGTGCACTGCAGACTCTGTACGTGTGTTACTGCTGCTCCACATTCCCAGCAAGCCAGGACTAGACTCTGCCTGGTGGATCCAAACCTTTCCCCAACCTCCCTCTCAGGGGAACTTCTCCCTTTACCATACTGGACTCCACAATCATACTTGAAATGGGACTTGAGTCAGAGCGGTCTATTTATAGATCTATATTTTACTTGCATCAAATAATGGTGGAATATTGCACAAAACAAATGGGATCTATATATGCGCGCGTGTGTGTGCGTGCGTGCGTGCGTGTGTGAATGAGCAAGTGAGTGAGAGAGAGATTGTTTTTAAGGGGATAGATTAGAGGTAAAATGAATGGGACTGAGGCAGGGGACAATGCAGGGGTTGGGGGAGGTGAAATCCTCTTTTCCCTGCACCTTCCCTGTGACCTTCTCCTGCCCTGACCAATTTTTCTTTGTTGCTAATAATATTTTCTATATCTTGTGTTGTGGGGCTGATGATGACCTTGCCCATCCTTTCCTTTTTGTTTTCATTTATAAGGCAGAAAGTCTGGATTCATCTCAATCCTAGACAAGGGACTGCTATGCATTTAGGAACCCACCCAGGAAAGGAGAAGACAGGAAAGGGGAGAAAAGAGAGTTGCTGAGAAACATGAAGGCTGGCTGCTATGGCGAGTCCCACTGGAAACCAGATACTGTGCTTGGAAGGACAAGGACTTGTCCTCTTTGACACAGCAGAGTAACAGGGTTCAGTGGGAATGCCCTCTTTATACTGTTGTTTGCAAACAGGCTCTTAGTCTGTTCCCTAGCACACCTGGAAAACAGGCTGCCCTAGCGTGACTGAGCTGCTGCACTGTCCACAGGCACTCTAAGGAACATGGTACCCAGCGTGGTCAGAAATGAAGCTCTCCTGTGGGACGCTGGATAGAGAATGAGACCCAGCGCTCCTCGTGTGCCCAGGCAATGGGTTCGTCTGGTGTGTGGGGACAGGGGCTTCCGCTCTCCCTGCTGGCATGGCTAGGCATGGGGGCAAGCCCCTCTGAACACACCCTTTGCTGCAGGCAGGTGTACCAATGCCACACGCAGGTGCCTGCCCTCAGGAAACGGTCCTCTAGGCCGGGCAGGTCCAACGCGTGCCAGGACGATGTAGGGGCTGGCAGGGCCACCAGAAACACCCCTTCTGCTCCCCCAATTCCCCTTCCCCACACACCCACCTGGGGTACAGGCAGGCACATTTCTTGCAGGGAACAGATGGCACTTGTAATGTCTTTTTGTTTTCGTTACTGTTTGATGGAGAGCAACGAGATTTTCTAAAATGATTGAATGGAGGTTTCTTTGGCATGAGACAGAAAATTTTTAAAGGTATATTATATTTCTGGCTTGTTGTTACAGAAGAATAATAAAGAATGTATTTTCCTATGCTCCTTCTTGTTTAAATGAGATACCTGACAGTAACATTCTCTCTTACCCCTACCCCCTGCAATAGCAAACACTGCAGCGATATAGCCAGCCAAATGAAAAAGCCCTTGAATTCCCACATACATGTATGCTTGTCTCTACATAGTGTTTGAACTCGGAATGGACATGCACATATATATACACGCGTACACTGTAGCAGTGCCAGTCCTAGGCAAGCATGTACCTGTAGCTGGGGTGAGGCTGTAGAACTAAATACACAGTCAGTCAAGGTGAGACCCTAGATCTAGAAACACACACACACACACAGAGTGCTCCAGGGACACAGCCAGACAAGGGCGATTGTGTAACAAGGATAAGATACTGTGGCAATCAGTTCATTACATAAAAGTAGAAAGGGCCAAATTAATCCCTCGTGTAAGAACGCAGAAGCCAATGGAGTTATATTCAGGTCAAATTTGATTCCAAAAGCTTTTTTTTTTTTTTAATTAGAGCATAACGTTCAATAAAACTTACAGTAACAAACAGTGAGCTATAGGTTCCTACATCTCAAGATTCCTGACCCTCCTGAGCAAGGTTATTTTGAAATGAATGGAAATCGCTATCTAATCCTATTGCACCTCCAAGTACACAAGCTGCCACCCCTAGAGCTAAAAGAGTCTCTCCACCAGCTGTTCACTGGCTAGGTCTATCACACGCAGCTAAGAAGTTTATATTTCCCACTTCTCCGCTTCCAGTGCTAAGCATACAATTCATCACATACTCTTCCTGTGAGAAAAAGCTCATCCTGATGCACACTTAACCACAAAAGATGTTAAACACTACCACAAGCAAACCTTTGTGCCTCTATACTCAGACTTATACTCGGCCACCCTGTTATACTCACTCTGATCTTCAGAGAGAAACTGGGACCAGAACCCAGATACTCTTAATCCAATAACAGATGAGGCATCTGTTCTGCTGAAAAGGTACGTGCCGCAAGAGAATCACCATTATTGTTTAACAGTATGGTGTCTATGACACATAGTTTAATCTAATTTTGCCATGTAGGTAAAGGAGTGCATGCAGATGCTACTCAGCAGTTCATATAATACCAGAAATGTACAGCAGAAAAAAAGCAAAGCCAACGCACTCATCTGATGACTCTAGGCTGTTTCAGTTCATGAATTATCAGGGAGCAGGCTGTGATTTTCTGCAATATGATTATTCTAATTTGATTATTTGATATCGGCAAATGTATTTGCCCTGCATACATATCTACTTAAGCACGCACATAACACCATATATATAAACATGTAATTATGTATGTGTAATACATGTAAAATATATAAAACTGAATTCATCCT